GACTTGAAAATTTGTATGCACACCTAGAATTGGATCATTTATCACTGGACAACTTAATCAAAACTCTACGAATACAAGCCGAGCTTGGCACGCAACGCACAAAGCACATGCACGCACTAATGCCAACAAGCGGCGCAAACGCAACGTCGGAATCAAAAAAAATTGAACAAAAAAATAATAAAACTGCACAGAACAAAGCTTACATAAAAAGTAAATGAATGGAAAAAAAAATTTTTAGGTAACGACACGGCGCTTTCTATTTCGCACGCCTTCAGCGACGTCCCTTGTCATCGCGATGCTTCTCCTTTCTCCCAATCCTTTTTTCAGCGGAGCCGTGCGGTGTGTTCCTTTAGCTGGAGGTCGTTGCGTCTTCGTCGCGGTCGTCCTCGCTTTTGCTGTCGAGCAGCTCCTGTCAATCTTCACGTTTTCCACCACTCTGCAAACAAAAAAGCAAAAAAAGTTACTAGTGCGTAAAGGGCAAGACTTGACTCGTGCCTGCGAGCAATGTCATCGTGTACTCACCACTGTGGTAAAGCGCGCCCGGGTCGAATATTGGCTCGAGCCCAAAGAGGCCGAGCGAGACGACGATGCCAACGGTATGCAGCGAGCCGCTCCTCCGGGGCTGGCCTTGCTGCTGCTAACGCCACGGGCCTCCTTGCCGATGGGCTGATACAGCACGACGACGGGCTGTCGGTCAAAGCAGTCGGACCAGCCCGTCCAACGCGACGCTTGCTGCTGCTGCTTCGCCAGACGCGTCGATGGTGGCGGCGGCGGCGGTGGTGGCGGTGTGTCCGCCCTCGACGACGTTGATGGCCGAGGCTCGTCGGCATCTTCGCGCAGTCCCGTTGGCCTCGGACGCTTGTTGCGCAGCCGGCACCACGGACCAGCCTGGTCGTTAGCCTGCTGCTCGCCACGCTGTCTGCGATAACGTACGGCTACGTCGCACTCCTCGTCGCCTTGGCCGTCGTTGACGTCGTCGTCGTCGTCGTTGCTGCGTTGATCGGGCCTCTTGCGCTTCCACCCACGCGCTAGTCCCCTCTTCGGCGGCTTTGGCTGGCTCCAATACACACCCCGGGAGAATATATTTTTCTTCATACCTGTTTTAGAAAAAATTGAATGAAATAATTTTAAGATTAAGGGATGATATGTAAACTTACCTTGTATTTTCATGCCGCCAAACCAGGATCCATCCATCTTTGTGGGTGGAAAACCCTTTGGGAAAAAAATTGATTTTTTAAATGTTATATGAAAATAACAAGCCTGTTGCGAATACATTTTTAATCTTACATACTTTCTCGTCAATGAAAACAGTTCTTCTTCACTCTTTTTCCGTTGCGTGAAGATAACGTTGGGCAAATTCCACCCCAAGTATTTGTGAAGCTGGTTGAGTTTGTTTCTCACTGCCGGTTTGAAGCAATAGATATCGACGTAGTCATTCATCGCTCTCCTTATAGTGCGTGAAGTATAATATCAAATCCTCCCTGGATTGGTTGCGGATATAAAAGGAAATTGAGTCGCCAGGAGGGTGGTATTGCCCATCTTGTCCATTGTAAGTTGCACCAGGGTCCCATTATTTGATCGGTTATCGACCAAAAATTTTCTCGGATTCTCACGTAATCTTCGTTTCCAATTAAAAATCATCGATCGAGTACAGCCCAGACGTACTACAATTGTTCAAGAACGTCGTCAACTCCATAAAAACGTGACGTGACACTCTCGTCTCATACTTTATAGATCGCAGACGTAATTTTGGAGAGCGATACAATAGTAGTGCGCTTATTCATATAATTCATTTATTAATTAATACTAAAATTAAATAACGATGGCAATGTTTAATATCGATATTCTTGATTTTATTTTTGTGTGGTTGAATGGACCGAGCTTAAGAGCCGCGCAAAGAGTGTGCACGTAAATATTAAATCATTATTATTAAAAAATATAAACCCATTAACATTTTTAACAATATATAGATTTTTTTGTGTGCCATATTTTCTCTTTAAACGATGTTGGAGTTGGTCGTTGATAAGGACAGGGATGATTAAAAGAATACACTTAAAGTTCACTTTGAACTGTGGCAAAACTTTATTATAACCCACTGTGCACACTGCACCTCTTCACACACAGAACAAAAAGAAACTTAAGGACGAAATGTCCGAACTCAATAAAAGAGAAATAAAGAGAAAATAAAATAAAACTTTAATGAGTAAAATCAGTGGATCTCTTGTCGAGCTCTGCTCAGCAGCAAGGGTCACTCACGAGTGAGGCTCGCTCGCACGTACGCGCATGGAAGGGGGAGAGAGACTCGTGCGAATTGCCTCGCGCGGTCGCCTCGTCCACTGCTGCCCCCTCACATACTCGCACATACGGCTCGCACACATATCGGCGACTTATGTGTCGACGACAAACGATCTAAATAATAATCGGTTTAAACGCGGATAATATTGCACGAAAATACGTACGTCATTTTTAAGTAGTATACTTTTGTCCTTTCAATTATATTAAATTTTAAGCACCTAAGAATTATTTTTTTATTTTACAGGGAGAGACATAAGAAATACTTTTCAACGAAATTTTCCTAAAAAATATCAAAAATTGGCAAGACTAGTATTACATTAATTTATAACTATATTAAAAACTTATGCTTCAAAGAGAATTAAATGTAATAATAAATTTTAATTTATTTTCCGTTAATTATATATACTTACAAATTTATGAATACTTGTAGGTCATAACATAAGCAAAATGCCGCGTTAGCTAAAATCAACGCGATTTGCTGAAGTTGACGCGATGTGAGGCATCTTGCGTATATATATTCAATGGTATCTTCAAAACGACCTGCAGGACGCTAAAATAATCACAGAGAACTCTATTTTTTTCAAATTACTCGTTGAAAGGAGTACTTTTTGACGATGCACTTTGTATTGAGATTACACAATAAATAAACTCCAGCTACACGTTGAAATGATACATTTTTTAAGGAAATTTATAAAAAGCCGATTTTCTTCGAACGCGCCAAATTTTTCCTTCTTTAAAAATCACCTCAGTGGACATTTTTCTTGTTAGTACTTAAAGAAAAGAAAGAGACCACTGGCGATGGTGTTGAACTCAAAAATCGACCTCGACCATGTAGTCGAAAATCGGGTAAAATGGGCAAAAAACAGCTAAAATCCCAGCTTTATACGCATTACGTGGTTCCGTATCTTAATTTTAGGCACTGTTGGTGGTTGAAACATGTTTATTAGCCTATTAGTTGATGAATCGCGAAGTTTAGAATTGCAAAACATTATTTTTCCATTTTTGGGGCGTGGTAGAGTGAAAAAAGGCGAATTTAAGAAAAAAACATCGAAAAAAATATTAGTCGCAGTTAAGGAGACAGAAAGAATCATTTGTACGCACCTGCCTTGAACGAGCTTTCATTTTATACATGAAATTAACAGAAAATCACTATCACAAATCGATTCTAGAAAAAAGCCTAAAAATGGTCCACTCTACTATCCACCCATTCATGATAGTGAAGTCCTTGTCGATCCAAATGTTAAAGTCGGAGCAAATCAGCACTCTACCATTGCCAGGTGAGCGGCAAACCACGAGAGGATTCTCGCTGTCGAGAACATCATGGCTAACCTATGAATGTAAACACAAAGCATGATGTAAAATAACAGCGCAAAAAATAAAAACGAGAATAAATCGACAATAGTTATTTTTGTAACAAATGCCCAAAAGGCGTTTTTGGGCACGAGTGTGCGGAAAAACACACTCGTGCCGGCTATGCCACATACGAGTGGGTGTTTTTTCCGCACACTGTCCGCAAAAAGCTGGGCACGCGTTGCATACAAAATTTTATACAATTGTATGCGAAAAATGCCTAACAACAAATATGACAATTGTAAAGTAAATTACAATTATGATATATAATTTGAAGTTACCTTTAAACATTTACGAGGCATGTCGGGAGCTTTGCGTGAAAGTAGTACGGAGTGGTCGCGATGACGGTCAAGGGGGGAGCGGGTGCAGGGGGCGAAGCCCCCGCTGGGGGGTTGGGGGGGGGGCAAGCCCCCCAATAAAAAAACCAAACTCAGGGAACACAAAAATCCCATGAAACAAAAAATAAATAATTGAAAAAAAACAAACTTGTGGAATACAAAAATCCCGTGCAACAAAAAATGAATACTTTGAAAAAAACAAACTTATCGAACAACAAAAACCTCATGCAACATAAAAACAGATTATTAAATCATTAAATTTATATTAATAGTAATTCTATTTAATAGAGCACTTTGATTGTTCATAGTAATTTTTATGAGTAAATTTATTTTATAGAACTTTTAATTTGATTGTTCATAGTAATTTAATTTATTCTATTTTAATTTATTCAGATATAGTTTTAATTATTTTCAAATATTAAAGTAAAGAAAGCCCTCAGTTTAAAATACATCCTTCAACTTTTAAATTTAAACTGTTATTATTGTTATCTATTGTTACACTTGCACTCGTTTTTGAGCTATTATCTTCACCTTATTTTAATACTTTAGGAAAAGTTGGCGTATTTTGATTATCATTGCTTTCATTAGTAGAATCTACAGCCTTAAGTATTCGCTTCATGGACTGCTTCTTATTGTACATCAAATTTTCCACATAGCCTTCAGCAACAGAATTGGATTTCCATCCCTCATGTCGTTTTAGAGTTAGAGTGTCACCTCCTTGATCAACAAGTAAAGTAGAAGATGTTCTACGGAAGGCGTGGCTGGTGAATTTTTTGGGATCTGGCAGCTTGAGGTATGTAGCAATGGCAAATGATACACCTGCAATATTATTGATCCCCATGGGTTAATTAATGCAAGTACCATCTCGATAAATTAGGAAAAAGTTTGGAATTTTTACTTTCTTTGGTCTCAATCAAGAGGTGCGGTAGCACCTAGCCGGCAATTCAATCTACTTTAAAACAATATCAGCTTTAGATCCATCCACAACGAACCATCTTGGTATATATGTTTTTGTGTCTGGAATGGTAACAGTCAATATTCGACCATCAACTTTGATGTGAGAGATTTCCATTTCGTACAATTCCTTACGCCTACAAGCTCCAGCCAGTCCTAAAATAAAAACAGCCTGTCAACATAAACAAACAGAGTGTGTCAGAAATGTAATATTATATAAATATATAAATACTATATAAATATAGTCATAAAGTTCAAATTTAAATCATATGTCACAAAAAAAGGATTTGAGTGTTGAACATCTGAATTAATGAAAACTACAAAATATTGTTAAATAACATGCACATGCTCTCTCTCGAAAATGTCAGCCTAGTTGGGAACATATCCAATATGTTGTTTTTTCAAGAATAGTTGTAGATTTGCATAAGATTTTATATAAATGTTGTGTTTGATGATAACCATTCTTCGCAACATTGAGTATATCGACCAAAGCGTACTTGATTTCATTCTCTTCGACAATTGAAAAAATAGGCCAAAAACATTTTCTCCGCGAAGGAAGAACTTTTTTTATCTTTTTGCCAGATTAAGAAATCTTCGTATCTTTTCTCATACTTCTCTCTTGACCTCTCCGGTAGAGAATCCGAGATGGTTGCGTTCGCCTCCTCCATGACGCTCTGAAGTACAATGTCTTCATATTCTTCGGCCGAATTAGACTCGTAGTCGGACATTTTTTATTTATTCACTGATTTATTTAAATGAAGAAAAAACGGAGTAAAAACACGAGCACGCTACTACGTACGATTCTTTGCAACAGGCTATTCAAAACAACCGTTTCGTCGTTGCAACAGGCTATTTCTAAACATAACCGTTACAAACGACGCTGGCGGTTGAGCTCGAGTGGTGACTAGAATGAAGTTGGCTGCTAACGCAAACTCGCGCATTTGAATTACCGGACGTTGGTCATTCAAATACGAATTATGTTGTAAGAATACTAAAATTTTCAATGAGGTTTACTTATTTTACAAAAAGAATGTCTACTTTTACATTATACTTTTATTTTTATCTTACCGCACACCCGTGCTCAAAAACGCTTTTTGCGCACGAAAAAGTATGCGCAAATAGGCGTTTTTCGCCATACCATTGCATAAAATTATTTACCTCAGGTCGGTTGCGTATTTCTCGGTCTTCGTGTTGACGTTCTGTGTCACGTCGCCTCCCCATTTCACGTTGACCTTCGGCGTCCTGTTGTCTCTTTATTTTTTTTCATTTATTTCGCGTTGGCTTTCTAAATCGCGTCGGCTCTTTACTTCGCATTCTCTTCTTGTGTCTTTCTTCACGTTGATTATTTTTCTAGCCTCTCCTCTACTCAACGTGTTTTTTCTTTATCTCGCTCTAGATCGCTCCGTATTTTATTTCTTTAATTTTTCTTTGATGAGCTCTGTGTTTGTATTCAAAGCTGAATTGCGTGCTGATTTTTTTGCCATAACCATATGATTGCCTTCAGAATTGTCGTCTGAAAATTACACATGATATATGATTTAATTCATGCATGCAATTATGGTGTTTTTTAATTATAATTCTATTCAATGGCTCATGAAAATTGTGAACTTATGACTTTGTTTCTTATGTTTTGCCATCTTTATATCGAACATAAGTACAGTGCCCTTTTTTTCACAACCGGAACTTAATAGCGCTTCCTTACGACACTTCTGGTGTGACAATTGAACCACAGAACTAATCCAAATATTGCGAGCAAAACTGGATGTTGCACTAGCAATAAAGTATAATTTTTTTACGAATGTAATGTAACAACATCCACGAGTTTCCAACGCTGGTACACGTCCAAGAGCTGATACACTTCCCGGAGAAAACCTTGTTCAAGAATAAGGTAAGGCGTTCTGTAAACGTACCTATTTCTTCAAGTGAAATGGAATTTCAATCCATGTTTGAGATTGATATTGCTAACGCTGTTGACGATGACAGTGAAAGTGAAATTGAAAGTGAAGAAACTGACTCAAATAAAGAGATACAAGAACTCATCGACAAAGCGCGATCCAATGTGATACCAGAAACATCGAAAAAGGTATATGAGAAACAATATACATTGTTTCGAGACTGGTGCAACAAAATGAAATTGGGCAATGAAGCAACAGAGGCCCATCTCTTGGCCTATTTTCAAAAACTTTCTGAGGATAAGAAGTCAACCACATTATGGGCTACTTACACCAAAATAAGAGCTATGGTGACATGGAAAGAATATGAAGACATCAGTAAATATATGGAACTTCAAAGTTTTTTGAAAAGCAAGGGAAAGAGAAATGTGCCCAAAATACAATGGTGTTCACCATGAATGAAATCTCTAGATTCTTAAATACGGCCTATGATGAGAAGTTTTTGCGGTATAAGGTTTGTATAAAATTTTCATTAAATTCTCATACATTTTATTATATAAATTCGTTTGACTTAACGTATTAAATGCTACAGGTTGTATTAGTGATAGGGATTCATGGGTGCTTTCGTACATTAGAATTGTTTAATATCAAAGAAGTAGATATAAAAGAAGAAGGTATGTTATACCACATCCAAATCCCCAACACCAAAACTTATGTGCTCAAGTCATTCATCACTAGCCCAGAAGTTCACCCAATTATTTCTAAATATATTAAAGTACGTCCAAAAGGAATGGAAAAATTTTTCGTCCAATACAGGAATCAATCATGTACTTGTCAACTTATAAATTTATTACACTATATTTTTGAAAACTCAAAATAAAAGCTTGAACAAAAAATATTTCCATTCTTTTTGGACGTAGTTAACACAATTATTTTATGTTACAGAACGTTGGCAAAGGAAAATTGTCGGATATTCCCAAAGAGATAGCTTCATTTCTTCAACATGAGCAACCACATAGGTACACTGCGTATGCCCTGCGTAGAACATCTGCTACAATTGCTGCTGATCTGGGAGCTTATCTACTTACCATCAAAACGCTTGGATCATGGAAAAGTTCAACTGTAGCGGTAAGCTATAAGAATGAATAACGGTTAAACAAAACCTCAACAAGCAAACTTATTGCCTCTGCTTTAAATATGAAAAAACCAGAAACAATAACTAAGTGGGGCTTCGCTGAATGGATATGACAGTTGTGGCTCCGCTCGTACATACAAGCAACGCGCGAAACCCCAAAGGTCGCGCTCAGTAAACATAAGTCCCCTACTCAACTATGCAACACGGCACGCGACGAAACACGTGATCGTACAAGAACGAATCAGCACCGACCGCAACGACCACACAACTCTAAAAGCAAAAGAAAGTAGTGCAAGATGGCCAGACAACAGCCAGAAATAATCAACCTCGCGGGCGATGACGAGGAGGTCATCTTCGTTCAAGAGGAGATCGATATCGCCAGCAGCGGCGGTAGCGAAGACGACGCAGAAGAGAAACTCTGTAACGAATATATTATTCGTTAGACTCTCTCTCAGCAATTGTTATTAAGTATAATAAAGATAAATATTATATGATGTTATTTTAGCACGACGGATCGTCGATCGACGAGTCGCGGTGCCGTTGGTGTGCGATGGGAGAGGGGAGAGAGATTTTTGAGGCTCGCGCCGATGATTGAAGGGCCGCGAGCCGAGACTGTTACGAGCTGTGATACCGCGTACCATGTTAATAGGCATACGCTGGCCTGATTAATTAATTGTAAATTCGCGATTGCAAATTGAAGTACAAGTCGAGACACGGTTTTTTGTGCAAGTGCCTTACGATACGAGGGTGCCAAGCGAGCCATCCCGAGAGGCCGACTGCCACTTGTAAGTACCTGTTCGACTTAAAAAGTAATCTCTCTCTCTTCGCGCACTCAGTGGAGCGGCGGCTCGCCGAGATCCTAGTCGTGCACGCGTATTATATCTTTGGCATGAGCCAACTTGATCTATTGCTTCATCTATTCGCACAGGCCATTGCCTGATTTCATTTTAATTATTTTGTGTGTCCTTAGCTGTAATATTAAATAAATCGGTTTGTAATAAAATGAACAAGCACGACTAGTCCCTCAGCTGAACCTAATCTGCTCCTACGTCCCACGGATCCAAAGGATCAACATCCCGTTATAACTCATAGAGGTGGTGGACGTCGAGAGTGAAATGGAAGTCGACGACGACGAGGACTCTAGTGCGGCCATCCGGCCAAGGGTCGTGCGTCGATTCACCCCGCCCGGCACTCCGATGCCGAGATCTCCCTCACCATCTCAAGCCAGCGAAGACGAAACGGATGAACCAGTGGCGCGTCCAGGGCCGTACCTAAGATACCTGAACAGCCCCAACTGATACGACAGGGCAGTGTCACCGTCATACCACAAAGCCATGGAGACGGACGGTGAGGCGGAGGCAAAAGGAGACGCCGAATACAATGACGAAGGAGAGTCCGACGACGAAAGAGAAGCCGACGACGAAGAAGAAGCCATCGCTGTCGCCGAGCCCGACAAGGAGGAAGGAACAGCCGCCGGTCTCGAAGAAGACGCGGGCGACGACGAAGAATGGGTCAAAGAAGCCGTAGATCACCAGGCCATCAACTTCCTACGCGCCTTCCCGCTGCCCCCGCAAGAAGGCTAGGAGCCGGCGGGAACATACGACGTACAGAAGCCTGTAGGTACCACGCGTCTCCGCACACTGCGGGCGAGCGCCGCAATCGCTCGCGGCGCCCGCCCGCAGTGTGCGTGCGAATTCTCAATCATTGTTTTTTTCATTTCGGTTATGTACAGAGCCAGTTTTTGCGTTATAATAGAATTAGAAAACGTTATTTGAAAAGCTACAATGACGAAAAGAGAAATTGAGGTGAAGCAGGGAAATAATTCCCAATACTTCGAAGTTGATGATGACACAATATCGTTATCATCATTAAAAATTTACTACCCTGAGATATCTAGATTAACCTATATAAAAAATGGAAAGTTTTTTTGCGCATTGGTGGAAGGAAATAACCTTAAATGTGCTCCTGGTGTTGATACGTACCACGTATTTGCGAAAAAAGGTAAACAGAGATTGTTAACTCATAGCGCTGTGAATGTCAATCAAGTGTTAAGTGTTAAGTGTGTCAAGTAATTTGTTTTATTACAATAGGCTCGGCAAGTTCACCTGCAACTCTCTCACAAGTGCAGAAAGAGAAATTTCAATCTTTGATGAATATTATCGTTAATAAAGCAGAACAAGATAAACCAAAAGATGTGAGGTTTTTGTTAAACGTATATATGCATTGATCTGGTAAATATTTTGATTGATAAAATGTTATTAATGTTGATAGGTTGAAAAACGTAAAAAAATCAATGAAAAAAAAAACTCCGACTCCAGCTCTGTCTCAGAAGTCTTCAGTAAAAGTGCAAGTTATATGGCATCACAGAGATGATGAGAAACAAAAGTGGTATAAAGGGCCTGGGGAAACGAAGGAAATTGAGCTCTTCAAAAACGTTGATTATTCAGTATTGGAAGTTAAGATGATGTGCATTGCAGCTTATAAAAACATATTAAATGCAAACTATTTTGAAAAAGGCACTGTGGACATTGGACGAAAAAATTTCGATGTGATTCAAGATTTTGGTACTGGAGGATTCTGGAGCTTCTGGAAATCAGCCTGCTCTAAAGCTCATAGAGCTGTTACTCTTTATATGTACACATATTTATCAGAGAGAAGCGCACAAAGTGATTCGAAGGAAAACGAAGCAATTTCCTTAAATATTTTGCCCTCTTGCAAATCTCGTTATAATAAACCAATAGCAGAAGAAAAAAAAGAGACTGTTGTGAAATCCCAAGTTACAGATGAGCACGATTTTGTACAGCCAAAACCAGTAACATCTTTTTCAACGCCAAAAAAAAATGAGATTCAGCTCCCCCAATGATTTAGTTCAATCAGAGACTCCTATGCAATCGTTTATTACAAATGATCATTCTGCAAAGTTAAAAACCGTATTGTATCCTTCATCGCTAAAAAAAAAGGATTCAGTTCAATTAGTGATATAAATAAAGTGAAATTGGACATTGCTACCCAAATTCCTGTGACAGATCTAGTATTCTCAAATACAGTACTTGGTAAAGGAGCATTTGGAGAAGTTAGAAAAGGAGTTTGGTGTTATAACTAAGTGGCAATAAAAACTATGATGTATGAAACTATATGTGAAATCAAAGCTACCCTTGAATGATATAGACCGTATCAATATCACCTATCAGATGCTCCTTGGCATAACTTTTCTGCACGAATTCCGAAAAAAAGTTTTGCATAGGGACATTGAACCAGCAAATATAATGATCACAAAGAAAAAAATTGTCAAGATATGTGACTTAGGAGTTTCCACAATAAATCAATTAGACACTCAACTTTTGACCACACATGGTCGTAAATCCTTCGTTGGCACACCCATGTACATGGCTCCAGAAGTCTACCTACGTCAACAAGAAGTAACAGAGTATGGTGACATATGGTCATTGGCCTGTACACTGGTGGAAATGTTCAGTAACAAACATGTGTGGCCAGTAAACGTTTTCACAACTTTAGACTCTATTTTTAAAAAATAATTAATACCCAATTGCACTGATATTCCAGTTGTATTGAAAAGAGAAATAGAGAAATGTTTCAACTATAACCCTGTTATGTGGCCAAAAGCTAAAGAAATTCTGATGGTTTTGAAAAATAGTGGCATTGAAGTAGAAATTTATTAGTTGCGTTGTTTACATAGTTCATAAGTTTTATCAGATCAATGTGTTCAAATCAGTGAGAATTTATTTTGTGGTAATATGTCAGCAGCAATGTTTAATCAATCTGCTACCATGTCAATCTCATATAGTTCTATTATATTAATGTTATAATAAATCAAAGCCACACATTTGTGTTGAATGTATAGATATTTGTTGCCCTGTTAACTATTTTTCATGAGGTTTAAAAATTTTGCATGGTTTTGTGTTACTTTGTACGACAATAAATAGTCTATGTGAGTGCCAAGAAATGCTCACAATTATATAAAGGACTCTAATTTATCAAATTTTATACATTCAGCACAGGTGTGTCCCTTTGATAAAACGCCAAAGAAGTTAATTGATCAACATAAAAGTAGAAAACAATTTGGCGTATAAACTTTGATCCAAAGAAATCAGCATTTAAATTGAAAATTTTGAATATTTTTATAATATTAATTGTATAAGGTGCGCGTTCTAGCACATGAAAGCAAAGAACTTTTACTATGTATATTGTTTGATGAAAAAAAAAAAATTGTTAATATATTTGAATTTTTTGTATACTTTTGTATTCCATTTATAATAACATTTTTACAAAAATATACAGCACTAAGGATCTTGGAATCTCTGAATTTTCACAATTAGTTCTTTATAATTTACATAGGCTTTCTCTATGCTATTCGGCATCTTCAGTTCAGGTTCCACAATGTCAATGAGAGTTTTGAATTCATCACTATACAATTTGATTCTTCTGCACACTCATACATGAACTCGTTGATTAATTTCTCATCAGGTACTTTCTCAAAAGTACGACCCCCATATTTTTCAGGCCAGTTGTACACTACATTAGGTATACCACAAGGTGACTTTTGATTGTTCTGCTGCCTCACACGATGCTCATTCCACTCCTTCATGGCCCTTTTTATATTTTTTTGAATCAGATGTCCGAAGCAGAAACGAAGGCACTCTATGTGTATATTATTTGAACCATCGAATTCAGCTCTTTTCTGCATTTTTTTAAATAATTGTATGTAGAATTCGGTCATATGGTTGCGAAGTTGCTTCCAATATTTTTCGATCCGCTCATTAGCAGTACTCTTTCCCTTTAGAAAGCTGTTATACCCTGCTCTGCTATCTGTGTCGTGAATGCGTAGAGCAATTTGAATTACTTCAATCAATGTATTTTCTGAACCTTTATCACTTCTCATGACACTAGGTACACAGTTATGATTGAGCACCGATTGAAGATAGTAATAAGCTATTACTTCCGGTTTATTATTGGTTGTTGCCACTTCTAGCCAAATTACTTTTCTTGAGTAGCCATCTACGCATCCACTGATAGCAAAACCAAACTTTTTTAACTTATCATGGCCATCGACGTGCCATAAATGATTGGGCCCAGCGACACAATATTGTCTTCGTTTCAGGCGATATTTTGAGCGAGCTTCAATGCCGTTAGGATCTATTATTCTTAATAATGTTAGAACCATATCCCTTTTAACAAAAAATTTGTGTTCGGTTCTTAAACGTTGCCATACAGACCTATAGCCTAAATTAAAACCAGACGATGCTTGAATCTCCAGCATAGCTTTCACAATTAATTCAACTGGAGTCTCCACAATATTTTTGCGTTTCACACCCAGAGCTTTAAAAAAACTTTTCAATTTACGTTCTGAATATTGAATTCCATGATTTTTTGCGAGTAAACGAGATATTTCCTTGTAGGTGTATAAACATCTAAAGTAACTCATAATTATGTTTTCTAGATCATCACAGGATTCATTATCTACGAATGACACTCTGTATTTGCTGACATGGCATTTCAACTCCAACTGATTATTCACTACACGTACCGTTCTTACATTTTCATCGTCGTTATATTGAAGTTGATGAGCACCAGGAAAATAGCATTTCAAATTATCAACACATAAAACATCGTCTGCAACTTCGAAATAATATGAAGTTTCGTTGTTTTCTATTTCTATTATTCTGTTAGACATTTTCATTTTTATTCAATTGACTCTACAAGCAGAAGAAAAATGATTGAGAATTCGCACGCACACTGCGGCGCCCGCCCGCAGTGTGCGGAGACGCGTGGTACCTACAGGCTTCTGTAACGACGACCTCATGTCTGAGGAGAGTAGAGACGCCTACGAGCGGACCCTCATGGGACATCTAATGTGCACAGGGCTCTTGCGGAGGTGTGAGCAAGTCGTGGTCCGATATTTCCGGTACGACGACGGCAGCTGGGTGTCATCGTGCTGCAGACGGTCGACACGCGGCCACGGGGCCCAGGAGGTCACCCTCCATCTGGTAGGGCTAACGGAGGCCTTGGACGACCATTTTACCAACTGCATTTACTGTGACCGAACCGTTGGGCGCAGCAGACGACCAGCGGTAAAATGCGAACTCTGCGCGCTGGTCGCACAGCTCTTTCGAGGCGACGAAAATCCCTCATGTCGAAGTAACGAGGTTAAGCGACGCACGGCTCCCTCAAGGCGACAAAAAGCCTCACATCGAGCGACGCACCGCTCATCGGAATGGTGAAGTTGAGCGACGCAACAATGTATTTTACGCAACAATGTATTTCACGCAAAATATGTATTTTATTATTTTTTTAAGGTCATTTAGGAGGCGGTACAATGAATAAAAAATCCCTTACTTGAACTTCATTTTAGGTTAAATTGGGGTTTTATTTGCATCTGTAACGCCCTTAAAATTACCTTGAAAAAAAAATACAAAACATACATTTTGACGTGAAATTTTGTGCTCTTTTCAAATCTGCAATAAAAAATGGGGGTCACATTTGAAAAATCGATTTTTGTTTTATTTTGTTTTTTTTTTTGTTTTTTTGTTGTCTTCTTTTAGAAGAAAAATCGGAATTGCGGCTTGAAATAGACGCAACAGCGTCGACAACAACGGAGAGCAGAGGAGGTCGTATGCGGCGGTCGTCGCTGGTGGTAGAGGAGAGAGGACCCCATCGGTGTCCTTGACGGCGAGTGGTGAGGGCGTGGCGGCGCCGAGCTCTGTACAAGTTTACGCCAGCGAGGAGGCAAGGGCCAGCCGCAATGCGGAGGCGACGTGGAGTTATCTCCCCAGGGAAGAGCTTGGCGCCTCAGCGTTGTCACGATGCGAGCCGGAGGGGATGCTGGTGGTGGAGGTCTCCGGCGAATCGTTTCCGGTTTCTCGGGATGTCCCAGTGGAGAAGGGGGAGATCTCGGAGGATTGGGAGGCGAGCGCCGACTTGGGAGGCTTCTATTACCGCCGACCGGTGTGACAGCGAACAGACGCCGAGAAGAGGCGCGCTCGCAAGCAACGGTGCCGTCGCAACGGGCCGTGACAGCGCCAGCGCACGCCATCGCCGGGAGAGGGACGTCACCCGAACCCCGACAACAACATCGTCACGGAGGAGGAGCCGTGCGAGATGTTGGAGGCGCTGATAACTGCGCGGAACCAGGTGGAGAAGTGGGACGGAGAAATTGCCACAGAGGTCTTTGCGGGTTAGCGGCAGGAAGAGGAGCTGTTGCTAGCAGACCCTCCGGCGGCTATGCTCTGTCAACCTCGCGAGGGGAAGGCGGAGGTTAGCGTTGAGCCGCCAAAGGTGCCTTTTGTGTGGCGTGGGGCGGCGACGCTGCCACCGGAGCCTGTCAGCATGATCAGTTACTTGATGGGCCCTCATGGATTAATGTTTCAACCAATGCAACAAAAACTGCAGGCCCGTCCGAGGTGAGAATTTCGGTGGCCTGAAGCCGGTGCCATTCGTGTCGGGGCTGGATCCGCCGAGGGGCGCCTGTTTTAACTGCCATGGGGCAGGACATGGCCGGAAGTATTTCTGAAGACGCCCAATGCGGGTGTTTTGCACGAACTGTGGACGAGGGGGTGTAAAGCTCCACTCGTGCTCGCGTTGCGGCAAGGCGTGGAGGAAAAGCCAGCGGAACTGGCACACCAAGAAGAAAGGACAGAAGGCACGACTGCATAGCGTGATTGGCAAGGTCAATCGTCGCTGAACGGCAGAGAGAGAGGCCGTAGGTTTAAGTTTTTTTTATTTTATTTCATTTTTTTTATATCATATTCATTAGCATTTCATCGGATGAGTGAATGAGTGTGAGTGAATGAGAATTATTTGATTTTAATGGTCGACGGCTGAGCTCGTGATGGTGCGTCGAGCTGTTGAGAGGTTAAACGTGTTCGTACAGGTACGAACAGTTTAGAAGGGCGGGGGGGGGGGGGNGGGGGGGGGGGGGCTTTGTGATGTGTTACGTGCTAATTAATCATGAGATTAATTGTACGTAAACCTTTTTTTTTATAATATATGTATATTATATGTTATGTTGCTATCGGGCGCGAACCCTTCTATACAGAAGAGGCTTGTCGCCACGACTCGCAAGAGTGTGGGGAGAGGAATAGGAGAATAGATATTAGTCAGGGTGTGGGGTGTAAAGATATGTATGTCTATAATTAAATGTTAGTTAGCTGGAATTAAATAACTTACGTTGTTTTCTTGCAACCACTCGGAATTTACTTTACTTTAATTTATTCAATACTTTACTTTAATATTGGAAATATAATATTCAAAACTTTATTCAATATTTTAAATACACTATTCAAGGCTTTACTCTATACGTTAAAGATAACTTTATTTTTATAAAGTGCAGTTTATAATGTGCAAAGGTGCGGAGCCAATACAAAGGTGTAGGTGGTTGCTGAGGAGCGGCCACACATCGACTGATTAATTCGTCGATGTTCTAGTTGCTCCTCAGGTGCATTTAGAGGTGGGAAGTCCTTTGTCAGCATCAATCGGTCATTGACAAATGGACATTCCGACTCAGGTGATGCTTCGGTCGACAGTTTTGTCATGCCTGTGCTTGTCGAAACCGTCGACTCGGGCCTGAGCCAGCATCTACCTAGTTCAATAGCCTTATGATGTCGACATATCTGTATGGCAAGCATTCGAGGTTGAACGTCCTCGAACATCTGGCATACAACAT